ATCAAAATAGGGGATACGTGTTTTTGGAATTTTTTGTTTATTGCAATTTAGCAATAATTATTACATATACAATTTTCTCTTACCTTTTACGGAGAAATGAATTGAGATTTGTTTTCGAAGAGGGTGAACCATTTTTATACGATAATTTGTCACGTCTTTAACAATTGGATAATATCAGATGTTCATTGTTCCATCGGTAACCAGGGAAGGTCCAGTGGGCAGATATAAATCCGCCGCGGTACCAGTCGTCGTAATACGGAACATACATTTCTATGGCCAATGAAACTTTTAGCCGAAGGTATACGTTTATTTATTTGACTTTTAATAATGAATTTCTTCATTGAATTTCATTATTGTGCACACTATATAGCATAATCTTCAGAAGCAAGCATTCAACTTTAGCTTTATCAATTTTTATTACATTGTCTTTTGTGAATAAATTTGTATCTAAATTCAATAAAATTAAAGGATTAGAAATTTTTCGATCAAAATTTTTTCAATTTCGAAACCTGTTAACGTCAAATGGCTGAATAAACGGTGTGGTATTTTTTGGCATTTTTAATATTTTCTGTTTCTTACACTATTTCTTACCTAGGGATTGATCGTCGTAAGTTCTCACTATGTCTTTTCTATGAATCAAGAAGCAAAATAGTATTTTCTGGTTCACACAGATCAAAAAAATATTGGCAAGTTTTTATGTGGAAGGTGGTTCCATGTCTTCTTAATTCGCAAAAATAGGCAAGATTTAGAGATAAGTCAAGTCATTAAATATAACCTCTTGTTGCATTTCTATATCTGCATATGCTTATTCTTTATACATGTCAATTGCATCTGTTATGCTTTGTGCTAGCTTAACTTTGTTTCGATTTATGTGTTCTTCATGCTTATTAGAGATAAATATTTACATTAAAATGTTTATAACATTAATAGGATTAACATTCATACTTATAAAAAATAAATTTTACAAATGTTCAAAAAGGAAAATTATAATACATTTACCATATACTTATTTATACCCACTTTCCTGCAACAGTATATTTTGGAATAATTTACTTACTTACCCTTGTTCGGATTACGACGACCAATACAAATTTCTGAAATTTCCCACTTCCACTTTAGCAACGTATAAAAAGCAAGAAAGAACAGCAGCGTACTGCTCAAATCTCTAACTCTTTTCAGAGATACCGAATCATTTAAACAAGGAACATTTCTGTTCAAATTATTAAAAGTCAAATAAATAAACTTATACGTTCGGCTAAAAGTTTCATTGGCCATAGAAATGTATGTTCCGTATTACGACGACTGGTACCGCGGCGGATTTATATCTGCCCACTGGACCTTCCCTGGTTACCGATGGAACAATAAACATCTGATATTATCCAATTGTTAAAGACGTGACAAATTATCGTATAAAAATGGTTCACCCTCTTCGAAAACAAATCTCAATTCATTTCTCCGTAAAAGGTAAGAGAAAATTGTATATGTAATAATTATTGCTAAATTGCAATAAACAAAAAATTCCAAAAACACGTATCCCCTATTTTGATGCATATTTTTCGTATATAAATCTGCAAAAAAGTCGAACTGCATTTAGGGTGAAAAATTGAAAAAAAAGTCCAATTTTTTAATATATTATTTAAATAAATAATTTCTTCCGAAATTTTTGTCACTAACTAATTTCCTGACTAAAAACTACACAATTTAAAAAACAATTCACCTTCCTGCACCCTCTAGTTTCCAAGATATTGAAGAAAATGTGTTTTCAACCCCGAACTTTGAGGGCTATTTTCACCCCCTCAACATGCATGTCCGCAGATATAAAAAAATACGTGTCAAATGATTTTTAAAAAGTTACCACATATGTCAATTTCGTTAAAATCCGCGTGTGACACCTTGGTGATATCCCTTGTAAGTTTATAATGCTATATATAAATCTTGTTTTTAAAAATTAATATTTTGTTGGATATCCCATGTGTTTATGGTAGTTGTTCGAATTCAACGATCTAATTCATCCCATAAATTTTCAATGGGATTTAAATCTGGCGATTGC